ATCTCAAAGCATCGAATCTGTTATATTCATTGTTCATATATCCCAATCAATACGGCAAGTTTCAGTTTCCATTAACTAAACCCGCTATAAGCAAAGATGGATGGTGGGTAGCAATGGAATCCAGGATGCGCGTTTCATCCTATTTGAGACTCGTCAGATGGACGTACATGCATCTCACAGTTGATGTTCACTCTTGGGCTCGAACTCAGTACTGTTCGCTTCAAATTCTTTCGCATTATCCACTTAGCTACTGCGTCCTGATAGCCATTTACTTGTGCAATGGGGTGAAGTTTAATTCACTTGGTATTGTTTTACTTCAGTCTTCCCATTGATGTTTAGAAGTGAAATTGATCATTAACAGTATGCAAATATGCCAATAAGAGACTGATCAATTTCAGTACTAAACATCAATGGAAAGACTGAAGTAAAACGATACCAAGTGAATTAAACACGCTATGTTTTACTAACGAATTGATCATTTTTAGCAACAAAAAAGGGTTTTCATAGCTAATAGTTTATATAATAATGAAAATTGATTAGAAAATAGATCAATGAAGTGATGTTTCTTGACAAGTAATATATATATATATATATATATATATATATATATATATATATATATATATATATATATATATATATATATATATATATATATATATATATATATATATATAATGTTCCTCAGTGAGCTTAAAAGTTATGACCAAACTCATAAAAACATGATTAAGGTGAGTTTTATGAACTTATATATTCACATTTCATTCTACGATATGTATTTGTATAAAAATCCCTCTGACAGTGACCATTCAACCATATATATACATACCTAATCAGCCTAAAAATAAGAACGAAATTGAAAAAAAGGAAATATATATGGCTTTCTATATCTATTCTAAATGAGTTGAAATAGTCTGTGAACACTGCTGTAATCATTAATAATTCAATTTTTTTTAGAAAAATTGTAAAATGATTGTTTGCCAAATATATTGAATTAATGAATGGATTAGCTGAAACCACGCAATTAAGTAGTATATAACTAGTGTTATTATTAAAGATGAGAAAAAAAAGAGACAAAATTGAAAATACTAGATAAGTACGATTATTTAATGAAAAGAATAAACGAAATTCTGAATTTTTGACTTGAATTAGTCATAGGAAAATATGAATATTATTTCAATGGATGTGATCATGAGTCAATAGAAGCTAGAACACCATGGAATACTTGGAAGCATTGGACGGCCATTTCGTCCTATTGTATGATAATGTTAGCAAGTGTAAAATGTAGTTCTGTACTAAGTTAATATAACTCTATAAATTATAATGAACATATTTGTAGACGGAGTTATCAAAATAAGACTTTGTGCATAATGTGCAAAATTAACCATTTACAAAATTGAAGTATTTTGTCGGAATCTTTTAAGTGGAAGCTAGAATTTTGTGAAACGTATAAATGAGGTAGTTTTGGATAAATGATTTCAAAATGTTATATGCCAAAACAAATGTGAGTATTTTTGTAAATTAAAAATGTTGAATTCAGCAGTTATCTTAACCAATCACCAACATTCGAAAGGAAAGCAAACCACCGAGTGTGAGACAGCTACCTATTGAGAACACTGAATATATGCTAGTCTGTAGTGTGGGTTGTTTAAATTTGAATTTTCGAATCACTGGATTTCAATTGTGAGCGAACAGAGTGTTCATAGTGAGTGCTCTTAATCACGAGCTCGATTCCAAATTGCTTCGTGAATCTACTTTATTACGGGATCATAAACTAACACAAAATAACATATGATATCAATACAGCTTAACATTGAGTCACACTCCAAAATGATGCCAACCGGAAAATGCACGTCAAATATCTATTACAATTATTCACTACACTATAAATTAATGGAACACAATGTTGTATGAGTGCGATTACTTGAATGTGAAGTAGAAGAATTTCGAAAAGGCATTAAATACTTTAGTTAATTCGAATCTCATAATAAAACTGAATGTATAATATATTTTATCCATAGAATTACATCTTATATTCGGTGCCCGATTTCTGTCAAACTATTCAATCAAATAATCTCACAATAGGACGAAACGCCGTCCAGTTCTTCCAGGTTTTCCATGGTGGTTTAACTTCAATTGAATCATGATCTCAACTATTGAAAATACTATGATATCCACAAAAAAACCCTACTGATATGAGTAATATCATTGTGCCGTTAATGAAGTATGGACAAACTGTTAATCCTTGTATTTTTGACAAAAATATAGAGGAATCAAGTTAAATATAATGATTTCTACAATGTGACTATCTCATAAAGTTTATAAGTTCATTTTTCATACCTCCGCTAATTTGATGACCTAGAAAATGCTATTAACTGTGCAATAATTTCAAAACTGAAAAACAAACAATGTGACTAAATGTTAGCTTATCATGACTGATAGTTTGGAATGCTATGTCAAATGTTGTTGAACTGTTGGATGTATATATATATATTCTGTCTCTACTTAATGAAGAAAGGTTATTTTTGAATTATAATAAAAACAATTTCTTAAAAGCCAGTTTAAATCTTATTACGTATGAAACTGTAACCAACCAGGCCTAATGAGAAGAACCAATCTATGAAGTTCAACCACATGTGGATTCAAATAAATGACAAGAATAACGATGCACATCATCATGAATTATTGCATTATCGAAAGTGCGAACTACTGGATTCAAATTCCACGTTGGAGCGCTTTTTCTGTACCCCTATGGTTACTTGTGGTATACATTTTGTTGAGAACATGCTGTAACAATATTGATTACTACTGTGGTAGGAGAGAAGGCATTTTCTTGACTGAATTATTTATGTCTTTATATTAGTTATTTTAATCATGTTTTCGGTTGATTGGTAATACGTTGTGTAGTACGCTGTTAGAAGAGCAAAACTGTCAGTCAACTTCATACGTGATGGAACTTATTACATATGTGCAACACTATTTTGCCACAGCGAAATAAAAATCTCAAAGTGCAAGTCACAATAACAGCGGTAATACAAAATATCATGCACGATAAAACGGAAGAAAAGTATACGAAGATTTAAAGGCTCTTAATTTATGAGAAGATGGAGTGGATACATCTGTACCGGTGCAAACGACTCTGAAATATTTTATTTAACGTCTCTAACAACTGCTTACGATAATTGCTCTGACCTCATCCAGCTAGTTTACACTTAACAATATGACATAGTCTAATCGTCAATGACTACATGAACTGTAGCCACGTTGTCATTTGACCTCCCCGAACTCTCTTCCAGTGTACTTTTACATCAGACAGTATCATTCATTAACATAAGCTGTTGCCAGGTATTTGTAATATTGTAATTTTTAAATAATCTGTTCGTTGATGAAATCTACCACTATCTATGGTGAAAATCTGGAACATTTAAAAACTTCGCATTGCCAATAGAATGCAATAAGAAGCTTAATAATCGATTACTTTGCTAGCATAGGTCACTTAGTCAAAGAGGACTCTGAGTTCAAAGTCAGGATAAGTGGAAGGCTGCCGAAAGCAGTTATATTGCATCTTACTAACACTGCCGAAACAATAGCCATACAATTAGGAAAATCCAGAAGGATTTGGTAAAACCTCTTTTTCCACCGTAGTCTTAATGTCTTATAATTTTTCTTTTTCCTTCTTTGTCATTTTCTTCCATTCCAGCCAGCTGTTCCTCCTTCCGTCTTCTCTATAGACATCATACTCCCAACTGGTTTATTTCTGTTTCTAGGATCCTCCTGATTACATTTTGTCCTATCACGTTAAACCGACCGGGCTTCATTATAATTTCCTTATTTATCTTCATGATGAATATTCAAGCCCTTAACAATAAAACGTTTATTAGTTCCCTCGACTGAAAACTTCTTTTAATGCCTTTGTTTATTGTACTTCATTGTTACCATGTTCAAAAGAAGTTTATTATCACTATCATTGTAACTGTTGTAATTCTTATCATCCTGAAAAAAATAAATATACATATTTGCGGTTCTACAGCTTTGAAAATAAATTCGACGAAAAAGAGAACTCTTTACTGAACTAGTTTTTCTTATTTGGTATTATGGACTTGAAAATTCTCATTAATGGATAGGATTGAGACTGATCAGTCTTTTGTTGTCATGGGTTCATCTTGTACGGATTGCCTCAATAATGCCTTATGTCACAAGCTTTATGAACAAAGATGGATGGTGGCTAGCTGTGGAATGCAGGACAAGCGTTTTGTCCTTCTTGAGGCTCGTCAGCTAGGTGTACATGCATTCAAGTGTTGTTATTCACTCTGTAACTCGAACCCAGTACCTTTCACTTCAAATTCCATCACGTTATCCATTATCTCAGACTGATCACCTATTGTTGTTTCAGTAATACAATCGGATCATAACATGAATTCATTGATTGTTAAACCAAGTAGAGTCAAGTGCAAACTTTCTAATTAAGATCACGAATACTAATGAACTCGCATATTACGTAACAGCATTCATTTACATCATACAACAACATCGTGTGGTGTATTTTTTCTTCTTCTTTTTTCAAAAAGAATTTTACAATCGAGCATATCACTATTTATCTCTTTTAACTTTTTCTTTCTTTTAATCTTCTAAAATGAAATCCGTATCATAAATAAAAGGCGTCTTCTATTCCCAAAAAAAAGAAAAGAGCATAATTGAATATCATTACACCTAAAGAGAAATTCTATTTTAGAGATGAAATAATCAATGATGAAAATGAATGTTTCTCTTTCATTCTCAACTTAATTAATGAATATGGAAATAAATAAATAAGAGGAATACCGAATGGCTTGTCATAATCATTTAAAGTATATATATATATATATTTATATATATATATATATATGTATATAAGTGCACGCTATTTATGATGAAAGAAAGAAAGAAAAATTTGAACCGTTTGTATTAGTCTCCAAATCATAAGTCAAATAAAACTTTAGTTCTATAGTTAACTTTTACAAATGATCCAAGGTAATAATAATGATAATAATAATAGTAGTACTAGTAGTAATAATAATACTAATAGTAATAATACCGATAATAATAATGCCAATAGTAATGATAATAATAATGGTAGCAATAATAATAGTAATAGTAATAACAATAGTGGCAGTAATAGTAATAATACTAATGGTAATAATAATAATGGGAGTAACATTAATAGTACTAATAGTAATAATAATACTAATAGAAATAATAATAATAATAATGACAATAAAAGAAAAGCAATATTGAAATCAACTTATCATTGAATAGTTATGAATTTATTATGGTATCATGATTATTGAAAAGTAAGTATCAAAGAGTTTCATAAATTTTATTTCAATTTTTCTTTTTGTTTTTAAAAATATAAACCAATCTACAATTTAAATTCATTTTGTATTATAAGCAAAGATGGGGAATGGCTAGCAGTAGAATGCAGGACGCACGTTTCGTCCTAGGACTCAGTAGCTATGTGGATAACGTGATGGCATTTGAAGTGAACGGTACTGGATTCGAGTCCCAGAGTGAACATCAACTCTGAGAGGTAGGTACATCCAACTGACGAGTCCCAAATAGGACGAAACGCACGTCCTGGATTCCACTGCTAGCCACTATTCCATCTTTGTCTAGAATGTGTGTAGATTAAGGCAATTTTGATGCGATATGCACAGTATGCACATATGCCAATAAGAGACTGATCAACTTCAGTACTAAACGTCAATGGGGAGATTCAAGTAAAACAATACCAAGTGAATTAGAGTAGTTAATAGTTCTTGCTGATCTAATCACCAATTGACTTTTATTGTTTAAATTATATTATTTCATTACCTTAGAATATACAAAAGTTTTGGAATTTACCGCTATATTGTCATACAAGTACTACATGTTTTCATCTATATGAAATTGTTTTTAAGTGTTTATGAATAACACGATTAACTTCATGTTTGTATAATTTACATTCGTGGATACAAAGCAATATATATATGGTAGAATGAAAATGAAATTAAATATTGATAATGAAATGAACTGGCTAAAATTTAAAATTTATTAAAGTTAGCCTTTAGTTCATTTTTGTATTGACTGTCTGAATCTTCCCATTGATGTTTAGAACTAAAATTGATAAGTCTCTTATTGGCATGCATGCATCGTCTATGGATTACCTCGACATAACCTTAATTCACAATCATTATAAGTAAGAATGGATAGTGACTAGGACAAAACGTGTTTTCTGGATTTCACTTCCAGCCACTATCCATCTTTGATTATAAAGCACGTTTTTTTTATTTATAATTCATATATGAATAAGCCGACAGATTATTAAAATTCAAATTTTATCTTTCGTAGTAAACATGGAATAATTTACTAGACATGGAGTAAGTTTGCTCACATGAACTATGTTTATTCAGAAACATTCTACTTAAACCATTTTTGGGAAGTTGTCATCATTACATTTTATGATAAATTGTATCAAAAAGTGTATAAAAGAATGTATTTCACAGTGCCTTCAACGTGTTTCGCTAAATTTGGGCTGTAAACACATGATTATTCAAAATGTTTTGTTATCAACCATTACACTGTTTCGGTAAAGTTCCAAACGAAAAATCGTCTGCATGTAAATACTGATTATAAATTTACTAGTAAGTGGTAGTTTAGTGGCCCGATATCTAACTTCTATTGAATCCTATGAATATTATTGAAGTACACATGTCAGCTATCCTCGTATATTATTATTGACTTATCTCACGTTGGTGAATAACGGGATTAAATAATTCAAATACGAGAATGGATTTCGAATACGTATATTTTGTACAGTCGTTGATCGAGCAGACAATCGGAGAATCGCAGCGAAGAAAGCGAAGAAGACAGAGAAAAGCGGAACGAAATGGCGCTCAGTGGAGAAGGCACGTAAGCCAACTCAATTTAATCAAGCGTCAATCGATATTTATAGCCGAACAAAAAAGGTTACAGGTATGTGATGTGTAAGATAAAATATGTACACACATACGCTTACATTAAAACAGTCAGGGTTAATGATGGAATAATTAAAAAGGCCAAAATGTAACTCACGATGGTGTATTTAGTATTGAATTTCATTAGCTGCCAGTTATAAACGTTAATTATTACAATCATCAATATACATACATAAATCTAACTGCTTATATACATTCCGTTACTTCGGAAGCATGAAAGTTACCGGAACAAATATGTTCAACAAAAACCTTCCTAGAAAAAAAAGATGTTATAAGTACTCGTACTTCATATAACTAAGCAACGAGAGAATTGCCACGTATCTAGTTATTTCAAAGACATATATCAATCACCACATATCTTATACAATCTGAAGTTTACATCAATAAACTAGTTTCGTTTGGTTTATCTAATCGTACTAAACCTGATTTCAGTCAAAATAATATTATGATAAATAACTACAGAATAAATATACGTACTAGATGCACATTTGTTGAAATACTACTCTTTCATTACTTACTATGATCATGGTTACTATACTCAACCATTAGCACGGATCTATTGACAAAAGAATGCAAAATAAATGCCTATACAGTGTGCATACTTAGAACAATTTTTATACAGATAAATACAATACTTAAGATTTCTAAAAGATGAAATATAAAACTTGGATGTAGCACGCCTTGGTTTGATTTCAATAGACTGTTTGATAAAATCGTTACTTTTCCAGTTTGAATTTTATTCAATTATTGAAAACTCATCTGAGTTTCTCGATTCAAAATGTATATAGACTGATTGTAATAAGTGATGATTTTTATATGAATATTGACAGATAGACTCAGTAGTGCAGTAATAATGTGTGATAGTGATGGGCGAATTAGAAATTGAGACAAGATTTTCTCATTTTAAGTATAACTAGTACTACATGAATTACATTTTATTGATGTCGGTTATTGAGAGTAGAATGCGTGTCTAAATGAGGTTCGTAACTACAATTGATTGATCACTGTGTGGTGATCGATGTCTTGTATGTCAGGCCCTTCTTGGTGCAGATCGAATATGGCGACCAGTCTAGGTGACTAGACATTGCGTGCACCATGTTGAGATAAGATGGTAGTTGGAGGTAGTCAACAGAAAACCCTATACCTAGGTTTTGTGCTACATGGCACCCGCCAGTAAGGTATTCTGTAGTCTTGTAGGACCTGATTCTCCCTGATGGATTCGATTCCGTGTCACCCAGCTTCACAGTCAGAGACGTTACTACTGAGCTATCCGGGCAGCAACTGACCTCCTGCAGGACTGAGATGTATTTTCAATTGATTGATCAGTGGATGTTGAGCATCAGTTCTCTCAAGATTACAAGTAGACCATGCTGATGAGTGCCAAGTAGCACGAAACCCAGGTCCATGGTTTCCAGTTCACTACCTCCAACTACCATCTTATGATTCGTAACTAAAAATAGCTAAAATTCAATTAGCTATTATCAGTGAGTTAAACAACTTTTATAAATAACCCTCACATCGATTTTTGTTAATAGCCATAATAACAAGAGTTGACATTCCCTAACTTATACAACACGTTGGTGTGAACAGCTACCATGGTTGATAAACATCCATTAATCAAATATACATTGTTATTCATATTTTCTGATTGACGTAACATATAATGCTTCACATTATAAATGACATATTTTTCACTGTATTATAATTAATCTATACTACAATGTATGTTTATTTCAGTGTTATTTGATTGATAATGACAAAATGAAACTGTCGCACCCAGTTTTCAATTTCATTAAAACTGTCAACATGAATTGTTGATTAACATATTTTTGTCTTCATTAGCTGAATTATTGAAGTGTAAATATTATTGATTGAATATGTAAACAGGCTTTTTTTAATATCAAGAAAACAGTCAGTGGATTAAATTGAAGGTATTGTCTAAAATAACTTGCATCCTGTAAACCATAATAATTTTGATTTGCTTCAGTGTCAATGAGAAAAAATGTATACACTTACTTCACAATTCCATGAACTGTAATTTTTCATATGTATGGGGGGGGAGAAGTCGGTAGAGATTTTTGAATTTTTACAGACTTCTCAGCTGTGTATGTCTATGAACCTCACGCTGGATCGATGATCTGGGGTTCGATCCTAAATAAAAATCACGTATATGCTGTAGTGAGAAGCTTAGTTTCAGGACAAAAAGCTGTTTAATGTTTCCTTACTTCATTGGTAATCTAACTAGAGTCATTCTGTGAAGCAAATATTAGGTGACTTAAATGATCATGGAGTATAATGATCTCCAATATTTGTAATAATTTATTTAGATCTTATGATATTGCTACAGTAAGTCTTATTTAGTTCTTTTCCATAAAATAACTGATTTTAATTATTCAGTTAAACATAATTAAATTACTTCCTCAAATAACATACAACAAAATCAGTTCATAATCATGAGCTTCTTGGAATTTAAATATACCGCTGTAAGAACATCAAGAACCTGGACAAACATTTTTTGATCAACAGTATTATGACTTGAGGCTATCACTAGTGAAAAACAAAAAAAATGAACTGAAATATATGTCATCACTTAAGTGTACAGTGTTATTTCAATTATGGTATTTTAATTGAGAAGCCAAAAACTTCGCTAAATAAAACAATGAAATTATATGAAGATAAAAATGAAATTTATAAAATAGCTTCAGTTTTGATAAAGGAAATTAATTTCGAGTTATATTTTCATTGATTGTTTCTAGTTAACTGATGATAACTCTTCCTGAAGCCCAGCGGAGGAAGAAATCAGGAAGAAGCATTGGAAGTGGATAGGACACACATTGAGGAAAGCACTCAACTGTGTCACAAGAGAAGCCGTCACATGGGATCCTCAATGCCATAAGAAAAGAGGAAGACGGAAGAACACATTTTGCTGAGAATTGGAGACAGATATGAGAATGATAAACAAAAATTGGATAGAAGTGAGAAGGAAGGCTCAATACAGAGTGGGTTTGAGAATGCTGTTGGGTGGTCTATGCTCCATTGGGGGTTAACAGGCGTAAGTAAGTAAGCGAGTTGACTAATGATGCCATATTTCACAGTAATCTCATAAATTTTCAAAAGCAGGTGTGTTTTATATTTAAGCTATGAAATTACTCTTGAATACTTAATGTTAATGAACAAATAACAGAAAAGCTACATATCGTAAACTACTATTCTCAACTACTTACATTACTGACTATCACTATTTGGGCAATAATATTTCTCCAATTCATTCAAGAATTTCTTTATAATATGATCCATTT